TGAACGTACTGACATACTTTTATTAGGAACGGGATCGATCCATTTCCCGACTCACTTCTAAATTAAAACTTCACACTCAGTTCATCCTGACCGTATTGCCATTGTTCTAAGTTTATCTATTAATAGCTCTGAGCAATTTTAAGAAACTTTACATAGATTCAGGCTCTTTTGTTATCGATAAAATTAACCTTTTGGTCAAGAAATTCTGAATTCTATTTTCTATTAATAATCTGATATATTATGCACGCTTAAATCGGAAAAAAAGATTGTATTTCGTTTTCTAAATAAAATCTGTAACATTTACATTTTAAAGTCTTTATAGCATTTTTAACATCTTGGTTCTTTTGAAAACATCTTTTCCCACCTGTTTTCCAGCATATTCTCCTTCATTATCATTAATATTATTTTGGGGTGATATTGTCCACCCCCGCCACATAATCAATGAATGTTGCTTTCCCAGATCAGAGATAAAAACTAAAAAGGAGCGAAAAACTGGATGAATTTTTGCAAATTGCCAGAGAATGGAAGAAATTGGGAAGCGTGAAGTCGTATCCATCATCTAAAACACTTTCGCCACAGCCCCTCAACCTCCGACGTCTTACTCTGAGTTGAGGTGTCTACTTGGTCCTAACCGAACTTAAGGGAGTGGCCGTAGATCCCCTGAGCATCCGTAGATTATTCGACCGGTCCACTGGTTCAATCCCGCTTCCTGCCCACGTTGTGTTTGGTTTGATCCAGAAAGCAGAAGTGATGTTCATCCATTCACGGTCGACTGAAGATGTAAACACGGCTGGAGAGTCTGCACTAAAAAAATTCAGAATGCAGCAAAAACAATTAATATCTGCAGAAAGACGGACAAACAACTATTCAATGATTGAGTTGTTAATGTCTTTTATATAGCAGAAAAGAATAGTATAGAAAAGAAACGGGTTATAGAAAAGAAAAGTAATTGACGTAAAAAGGCATACACTGGATTCTGGACAGTGAGAGTGTGCTATGATTAACTTGTTGTTAAATCGTCTCAGAACGATATACGACTCTTGCAATGGGGGGATAAGATTTCTGTGCGCGGCTTAAAGTTTATAGTGGCGTTCCTCCTTAGCAGCAGTAACAGTAGTAGTAATATTCGTGGTAGCAGAAGCAGCGGTACTTATATCAACAGCACATGTTAGCGGACGCTTCGTTCTTTCTTGAGTCCCCAACTCATCTCTCCACTGTCTCTAGCTCAACTCTTGCCAGGACTAATTCTCTTCCGTCTCTCTCTTCCGTCTGCCTCCCCCGTCTGCCTCTTTTACAGCATAACTACGCGTTTATATAGAAAAATCCGGCTGGTTACAACTGAACCTTGGCCCTACTACTTCGCACGTGATTATCACGGGGTTTTGACTGTTTCAACCAAAATCATGTGAATTCTAAAGTTCATCCTTGCTTACTCAGCTCTATTCCAAGTTTTAATCAATAAAAATTATTTCGACCATTTCATGTGTCTTCTAATGACCCAGTTCCAATGGGTACAGCTCCTGTCCTAGATCAGATTTCCCATCAGTAAACGAAATGCTCTGATCAATTTCGCTAGTCCAAATCTACTTCAATTTCATTAAAAAAATATACGTGTGTGTGTGTGTGTGTGTGTGTGTGTGTGTGTGTGTGTGTGTGTGTGTGTGTGTGTGTGTGTGTGTTTCCCAGACTCTCTCTGTCACATCATTACTTGTGAGCTTGGAACAGTCCTAAAATGTCTTGAAATTTTTTAAAGGATTTCAAACCCAAAGAGTTATCTAATCCACCTAGACAACAGCATCATTATGAACAGTTAGAATAATGATGGGAATGATGGAATAAAGTAGTGAACCCAATATGTTGTTCCTGAAGCAGGTCACAGGGTGAAAGCGAATGAAAGTGAAGAATCGGAAGAATATCTGAATTTTGCTAGAGGACTGAAGGTACTCTAAAATATAAAAGCGAAAGTTCTACCGCTCATGGCCAGAGCGTTTGGAACAATTTGCAAAAGCCATGAACAGAGAATGCAAAGAATTGAAAAATAAATGAAATCATTTCGACAAAAGAATTATTAACAAAAGAAAGATAGGAAATTGTGGAGAGCTGTAATCATATCCATCTTGATAGGACTTAGCAAATCAAAGAAATTATTGATGAGATTAAAACTGAAAACCAATCCCAGGTAGAAGACAAAATCTGGTCGTTAGAAAGAAAAAGTGTGTATAGATTTTGTTTTTCCTACAGTAGAGAGTAAAATTGAAAGAAAACGAAAATCTGGATGAGGTTCTGGACCTCAATACAGGGCTGTAAAACACTGTGAAACATAAAGATGATAGTTGTGCCCATAGTTGTAGGAGCGCTGGAATCTATCTCGAAAAACTTGTACAAAGGATGGAAGAAGTGAAAATCCAGACAAGAAACATAGCCATTCAGACAATGACGATATTGTGAAGAGTTTTGTTGTAATCCGGAGACTTGCTGTCACTTAATCTCTAATGAAAACCATAATAAATGAAGCTGCCAAAAAAAGGATTCCATTGTTTTTTATAAAAGAATTTTAAAAAAAAGCCAAATTATAATGACCTGCAAATCGAAGTAAGAAAAAGGTGGAAACTTAAATCTACGATTATCCCCGTTGTGATAGGGGCGTTGGGTATGATAAAGAAAGGGGACCGAAAATCATGTGAGTACAATTCCTGGGCATATCTCAGAGCCACAAACGATTACTTTGTGAAGAATTGTACATATTCGCAAAACGCTCTCCATTTAAACGAAACATCCCAAGTTTGCATAGATAACTCTCCAACGGTGCCCTTTTTACTCATAGAGCCTGGAGGGGACTTGGTAATTGGGCCCTTAAAATTACTCTCTGGCAAGATGATACCACACACAACAACAACATCTCGTCTTGTTCTTTGGTTAGGGCTACTTCATTGTTTCCTCTTTCCCCCGAGTCAAAGTCTGTACTACCCGGCCCATGGATTGAATCCAGCTCGGAATTTCCTGGTGGCTACCAGTACTGTACAGTATTGACAGACAACTGAAAAAGACCTGACATTGTGTTACAGTCTAAAGGCGTATTTTCGTGTGGGTGTTTCTATATTTTTAATGATATTATTTGCATTCTGTCTAATATCCTGATTTTTGTTGTTATCATTACCACGTTTCGGTCGTTGCACTCTCCAGTCTTCTTTAAGTGTCTGTCGACTCGGGTAACTTTCAGGGAATTTCAAAATGAACACTATTTAATTCATGTGGGTAGATTGTTCAAATTATGCCATTCATCTTTAGGGATATCTCATCTTGTTCTTATTTAGTACTAGTCATTTATTGCTCACCTTACTCCCAATGAGTTTCAGTCTGTACTATCCAGGGATTGAACTCACAATTACTATCCTTTATTGTGCCGTAAAAGGGCTTAGTTCGAAATTCCCTGAAGGTTACCCGGATTGAAAGACACCTTAAGAAGGCCGGAACGCACAACGGTCGAAAGGTTGAGACAATAGCAACTAAGATGAGGACATTAGTCTAATTATTATATAATGAAAAGAATACATTTTTAAAGTTCGTGACAACCGTTTGTTTTTTTTTTGTTGGCAAAACTTGATAAGAATTTATGCAACCCCGTTTCAAATGATTGTCACAAATAATATTTCACGAATACAATTTAAAATATTATTTTGATGATTCGCACAAAACATTATTCGACAAATCTCTTTGAAAACTGAATACTCTACTTGGATTCAGATATGATTATGATATTTTTTTTAAATATGGAGAAATGTATTTACTGAAAAAAAAATTGAACAAAGTAACTGTAAACAATTTTTTTCTATCTTCTGATAGAGAAAGCATTACCTCGAACCATAGCCAGTGAGACATGATGCAAGAGTCACTCCGTTTCACGAGGCTCGTCCCTTAATCGAGACGCCATCGCGCCAATCCTCCGAAAGAACGCCATCGAACGAGAGCCAATAACCCCTGAAGTCTCCACTGCCATAGGAGTAAAAAAAAATCTATCATCAAGAGAAGAATATGTAACTATTTTTTATTATCTCTGCTTTCCCGGGCGACGGATTCCGGCTCAGCCGCGAACCTGATCAAATTACCGGTCGAAAATGTGTCGGTACAGGTCGCATCCCAAATCAACGACTTCCCCATTTTAAAAGGGAAAATGGTAATGCCATCCGACCCTTTCCATATCCAGGATCGAGGCCGACGGGTTCGATTTGAGAAGGGAACCCAGCTGCATCCAAACCTCTTTTGATGATGTCGTTTATTGCTGCATGCCGTGGAAAGCGGCCGGCACTACAACGACAGGAGAGAGGATGCAAACCAAACTCATCAATGGAGGCTCCACATCTGCATCTCTGACGCTCACATAATTTGAGTCCAAGACGGATCGCAACTCCGACCCAAGTGCACTCATCATCTAGAAGGGTACCGGTAGATGAAGAGGGCACTGCGTTAAGCCAGGCGCCAATAATCGGTTGTGAAGCAGATAGTAGACAGGCGAGGCGATGCTGATCCAGAGAGAGCCTCAAATTAGTAAAATTGGTCTCGCATTTTATTTTATCCCAGCTTTTTTGTTTTGATGTGTCTAGTGGGATAGAAAGTGATTTTTGGGCCCAGGCGCTGCAAGTTTGTTCGAAAGAAATACCCGAGAAACACTGAGACGATCCACCGAGTATCTCATCAATTAATTCGCGACTGGACGAAAGTGAAGAAAGATATGCTGGAAGGGCCAAATCTACCGCTGATCGAAGGCTCAGGCCTCCGAAACTCAAAGGGAGCTTTGCCTGCCTCCAGCCTGTGTCGTCGAAATTAACGTTGCAAATTAGCTCCGCGCATCTCTTAATTGTGATATCTATCTCATTTAAGAAATCCTGTTCGAGGTAACAAGGGGTACTTCGGAGAGTGTAGAGGACACTCGGTAGCGAAAAACTGTTCTTCCAGAGGAAGAGGTCTGGATGTGGATCAATTAATTGCAATTTCTCAGTCATTTGTGTTAGAACGACATGCTTACTATCCAAAGACCCTCGAATGGCCATTGGAAAGACAGGAGAACCAAGAATGTGTAATTCCACCTTAGGCAATTGATTGAAATTACTATTAAAAAAACATCTTCATTTTCCATGTAAAATCATGCAATTGTAGCTTTTCCCATATAATTGACTAAAATCTCTTTATGAAAAGATCATATTAATGCCGTTCGGTTTCAACACACAGCCAGTGAGAATTTGCCCAGATCACTTTGTATAATTAAAAAACATTTAGTCCAACAACCTAAATCGAGAGGAACCTCGGTTCTTGAACGTCTCACATGTCGAATAAATCGGTTTTCGAACAGAAAATTCAAAATGAAAATGCCTAGTTTATGGAAAATTTCACTTCTCGAACAACATAGCCGAACAGAGTTAATATGAACGGAATAAATTTCTGAGTTGACCGCTATGTTCTATACATTCGTGTGTTGTGGCGTGCTTTTCTTTTCCAATTTTATTGTACTGTGAATTTTTTCTCTACACTGATTTCTACTGGAAAAATGGTTTCGGTTTACGAAGATTTCGGTTTACGAACGGCCTTCAGGAACGAAGTAAATTCGTGAACCGAGGTTCTACAGTAACTTTATTCTAGTCAAATTAATCCGGAATTAGAAGTCTGTCTGCTTTCCGGTTACCATCAACGACAGATATATATATATATATATATATATATATATATATATATATATATATATATATATATATATTCTTTGATAACATTGTTATACAAAACTGATGAAGAGATTCCTGGAAATATTTTCAACCTTAATCTGTTGGATATTTTGTACAATATCTATAAAGTAAACTCGTTACATATTCGTACGATGTAATAACAGTTTTATGAATTTTGGTGTAATTTCCAAATTGCATATTAAAATTCAGTTTGTTTTTCTTATTTCATGTTCCTTATATGATACAAACTGCACAATTTGCAGGACAGTATTAATCTTTGCTATTATATTGGTGTCCGCAAAGAGAAACACTCATACGTCGATCAAATAAAACGTTCAGTTTAAAATTCGGTGACGGTATGAATCAATAAGCACCTGATGAGGGCCGAAAGCTCAGCGGTCGAAAAGTTTTGATAAAACAAACACGAGGAAAACAATTTGAGTTTAAATAATGGAAATAATGGGTCCTCAATATCAGGGATAGAGTGTATGCAAATATAAAAGTGGACATTGAAGTCACCACCCCGTGGGGAAAGTGTTTTTTTCATTTTCATTTTCTGTCAAGAAAGTTGAAATGTTGTGAGAATTTGGATGCAAATTTACTGTGGCTGATCGAGCGATTAAAGCACTTTCTATACATCGCTTTCTCTTTTAGAATAGCATTTTTAAATCAAAATTATGATCAGACTCATTACAATGAGCAACTAATGCAATTCGTGTATTATTTTGTAAATGATCCCTTTTGTGATCATATAATCTTTTAATTAATTTTCTTGAGGTTTCGCCTACGTATTCTTTCTAGCAATTATTACAGTTGTTAGAATAAATTCTTCATTTAAGTTTTAGCTTACTATTATGCTAAATTGTAGCTTCTAGGTGTTGACTTCAATGACCACTATATATATATATATATATATATATATATATATATATATATATATATATATAATTTTAATAAACATAAAGCATTTGACTTAATGACAGTCTGCTGTTCAAAAAGCATCTCTATATTTTTAAAGATTCACTGTATAAAAGAAATAATATATATATATATATATATATATGTGTGTGTGTGTGTGTGTTGTGTGTGTGTGCTTAGAAAGAGAAAGAGAGAGAGAGGGAGAGATTAAGATTAACCTTACAATACAGAGAGTTAACTAGAAGGAAAAGAAAAAAAAAACGTTTTTGATTGTAAATTTCGAACACTTGAAGCAGTGCACGTGGTTAGTTCTGAGGAAAATAACTCGCAAGTCGTACATCTGAAGTAACAAAAAGCAAATGAATAAAATATTAAAGAAAAAAAAAGGATAAAAAGAATAAATGAACGGCGGTAATTTAATAAGCAACTTTTGGAAATTCTAGCAGTGAAGAAAACTGCAGTCAAAGAACGAAACAGTTTGTGTGTGTGCCTTCAAGTATGCACACAAACGAATATATATATATATGTATGTGTGTGTACGTATATTTACGCTCTTCCTTATATATATATCTAAATATATATATATATATATATATATATATATATATATATGTCGTTATTTAAGTATACATATTACATAAGTATTTACATACATGATGTATGTGAATGAGAATGGACACACATCTTTCATGCATGTGCCTATATAAATTCACACACACACACACACACACACACACACACACATATATATATATATATATATATATATATATATATATATATATATATATATATCATATGGACTTGTATTTGTGACCGTATATCTATATTTATACTCCCACACTCTCACATTTCACAATATATATATATATATATATATATATATATATATATATATATATATATATATATATAGTACATATAAATTATAAATCGTGGTTAAGGAAGATTATATTGCGCCAGTCGTACATGTTGAAATGTTTGCTTTTTTTGAAAAACGGTATTCAAATTCTTGGCTTTTGTATATGGGGCGAACACCAACCACTGGTTCTATCATATACTCTCTCTCCCCGCTTTATCTATCAACTGCTGATGCCCCCTGACGAGTGGACGGACGGGTTCGCCTTCGAAACACTGGAGTCGGGATTCTGAATGTAACATGCGTTTGTTTACGCGTGTATGTGTGTACGTATGTATCTGTGTACGTGTATGTGTGCAGATATGTGTAAATAATCATACATGTGTACGTCTGTGTGTGTACGTGTATATTTGTGTACGTGAATATGTGTGAGTACCTGTGTACTCATGTGTGTGCACGTGTGCGTCTACGTGTGTTTGTGAACGTGTATGTGTGTACGCGGAAGTGTGTGTACCTGTACGTGTATGTGTATGTGTATATATGCGTGTACGTGTATATGCGTGAACATGTATGGTTTGTACGTGTAAGTGTGTGAATGTGTCAGTGTGAGTAAGTGTACGTGTGTGTGTATGTATATGTGAACGTGTGTGTACGTGTGTGTGTATATACTTTACAGGACGTTTTATGTAGAAGCTAATATTGGCTTGTGCTCACACATTATACTTGTATATAATATACTTACCTAATATACTTATATAAATCAACTTACCAACAGATAAGTAGAAATGCCAATCGCTTCCACTGTATACAGACGCCATATTTTCCAGAAAGCTACTCATTGGCTGTTCATAATGTCATCACGAAATGAATCATTTTCCCCTTGGCTGGATTTCAAAATAAATTTATTGAAACGTATCACTTTTTGGCCGACATTCTTTTAGATTTTTATTGGCAATGGGAGGTGCAGTGAATCGATGCACTGTGTGCCACGAAATATCTAAACATATTTTTTATTGTCACGAACTTTAACCTCTCTGAAATAATGTCTTCTATATTCCGTGCCACTTTAGGATGTGGGCGGATAAGGCTCTCCGCAATTTCCTGTCCTGTTTATGTAAATTGTTTAAATGAAAGGTACCCGAAGAGACACTCACAGGGCATACTAAAGGAAAGAGGGACAGAGATGTTCACATAATTTCCAAGGCGTATTAAACTAGGTGATTTGAATCAGATTAGGAGGTCACGTATCGTCGGGGCGACATAATCGTGTTAATTCTCCGACAGTAACTCTTTGTTAAGCTTGACAATATAGGTACAAGGGTAGTCCTGCTGGAACAATTATGACCCAGATCTTGACCAATGTGTCCAGCATCTCAAGATAGGCGGTAATATTAATCCTGGGGCCTTGTGAGAGTATGTGGCGTGGTATGACAAAGTCCACGTTGTTTGCAACCCGTGGACTATAAAAGATCACATAAACTTGGTACATCTCTGGGTTCTGAGCATCTCATGTTCTTCGTATTCACCTGGCAACTCTCAAAAAACTTTTATTATCTAACATTAGTTTTGGTTCTGAACGCGTCTTCGTGGGCGATGAATTATTTTCAACCCTGCCTCAACTTTCCCGCAGACGAGACGTCGCAATCTTCTCGCTACCCTGTTGTTATTTCCATGGAACGGAAACGGTTCTTAATTCCACCAGATCTGACCGTCACAGCTAAGACCCGACACATCATATATATATATATATATATACATATATATATATATATACTAGCAGTAGAGCCCGGCGTTGCCCGGGATGTAACAGTAAGAGATAGATCAAGTATCGACCATCATAAAGACTGAAAAATTAAATTGACAAAGATTATTGTTTAAGGTTGACGGACATGCATGTCTTAATTAGTTTTTTTTTTTTACGAATTGGTCAAACCCAAATTCAAAAAACATTGTTTACAATCGTTATGAGTCTATCGATTGGTGAATAGAATTTTATTATAAACAATTGTCTTGTAAATGGAATTTTTAAAGCATTCTGAATGTAAATAAAGAAAATGTGTGCAAGACAATAAGAAATACTACCTGCTGAAAAAAAAGTGGATGTTTGTTTTATCGGCTGAAAAATGTAAGAAATCCGATCCCATATATAAAGGAACACACACACACACATAAACAACCTGGGTCTTTTAACCTAAGTCACTCCACGGAATCGCTAAAACATAGAGCATAGTCTGATGAAAAAGACGCCAAAGTTTATGAAAACAAAATTTTATCGTCAAAATGCTTATTTTTTTATGAAGAGGATAGACTAAATTTTTTAATTATTTTTTAAAATTTTTTCATCTTTTTAGAATATTCTAAATTTTGATTTAAAAACCTTGTTTCTCTTTGTCGCAACAAGTGGTAGGAAATAACATAGATAATTTTTAGCGCATTTTTTTGTATTTACACACATTAATTTGGAAAATCTTGCAAAAATAAAAATAATTGTCAGATGTTAATGAAACTT